TTAGAGCTTCTGCTTTTTCGTGCATGGGCACAGATTGTTTTGGGGTACCGTTTGCCGAGTTTGCACAACCCAATGTTTGATCTCGACGTCGGTGTGATCGCTGATCATGGAGTTTTCTGAAAACCATCATGTGGTCTCTGTAAGTTCAAAACAAACACAATTCATTTAGGCCTAAATAAATAGCTAAACTGCTACATTTGACAAGATCATTCAATTTCTAACTCTAGTCCAGGCTAAATTAGGCCTAGGCCTCATTTTTGTATTCATCAACAAATCGTTTGTGAGCTAAGCCTAGGCCTATAGAAAACGAATGGGATGGAAATGTTTGCATTTTTAGTCACAAACAAGTCACATCAGAAAAGGAGATAGGCCTAAATAGAGAAACTATGCTTGTAAAAGAAAGGCACACTGGCACTTCTGCTATGATTGCACTGACATGTAAAAACCGATCTTGAAAGTGCATTTATTAATATTACAGTCTGACAGTTTGAACTCTGTGGGCTTTTTTGAGCTTTTAAGGGCTCTAGGGCTATCATGAGTTTGAACAAGTTGAAGTCGTTTAATTTAACTCATTGACACAAATTTAACAGACACAAGTTTCCTTGAGTTTAAAGCGTACAGCTAGGTACTCACCAAAGAATCAGAACTAACGTTAGGGTGAGAACTCGAAGGATGGCACAAATTCGTAGTAAATAATAACAGCAAAGTGGGAAAAATGCAAAGAATTAAGTATTGCTGTCAGTATCACACATTTTGCGAAGGTGAAATTACTGTTTGTAAACAGCGTTGTCATGGTATTTGTTTATATCGTGGCGGATGAATATGTCACTGAAGTTACACGGCGAGTTCTCGGGCGCATGCTGGACCAATCCGGTTCGTAAGTGATTTCGTCACAAAGGCGGACGCGCCAATATTTTCAGGCTCTCATCGGACAATCGCTGAAGCTCGCTGTGCGTTAACTTCCGGTTCCACTGTTCCATGTAAACGGCGATCAATGCATGTAACCCTATGTGCAGTGCACGTGTGCAGTGGGCGTGGTTTAAACTG